ATTGCTGATTCGAACAATTGATCCTTTATCTACAATAAATAGAGCTACCCAATGTCAAAGCGAAACCGTTGTCTCTTAAAGATAAGGTAATATGACTGTAACGATACGGCTTGGTTTCAGATTACATTTCAATCGCAGCGATTGTCTGCTCTCTTATCATTTTAACTAAAATTAAGTTGGCATTAACAAGATTCGATAAATATTACCAACCGATAGGGGACTCGTTGTATAGCGATAGGAGAATGATGTTCTTTGTTGTTTGGCCACACTGACTTTACCTTATGAGGTACAAACAATTTATTGTATTTATTTATAATTAACATTTGTTCTTAGCAAGTTGCTATGTATTTATTATTTCAAAAGAAATTATAAATATAAGAATTTTCAGTTACACTTTTTAGTCGCTTAACTCGATAAATATTTATCAGTGACCATCAATTAGTTTATAAAATTACTCATAGTAATTAAAAAAAAAAAGGTTTGATTTTTTTTTAATTACTTATTTTAGTGAGAAAAAAAAAATACATTTTGCCTCAATTAAGGGCAATGAGTATTTGGGATCTATGAAACATAATCATACTATATATATATATATATATATATATATATATATATATATATATATATATATATATATATATATATATATATATATATACAATAAAACAAAAACATTAGAAAATTAGAAAATTATAACAAAAGAAAAGACAAAAAACCTAGTACAACAGAATAAATGAAACATGAGACAACATTAAATTAAAACACATTCATACTTATTTACAATATTTACAGTCAGCCAAGGGTACTGTACTAGCGGATCCAGGATTTAATTTTTGGGGGAGAGAGCCTGAAAGCATTTTTTTTCATAAAAATAACGATAATTACTTTAGAAAAAAAGAAAAGAACTAACTAACTACATGAAATAGTGTTTAAGTGATTCCTAAAGTCCTTTTTAATGTAATTACACAAACAATAATACTTTTAATTTTTTAGATATTTTTTTATATTTTGGGGGGGGAGGGGCTTCAGCCCCAAAGCCCTACTCCTCCGTAGATCTGTCCATGGCCGAGGAAGCTCCGAGTCGGGCCCTTTCCCCCAAGTGTGGGAGAATAGGCAAGACCCCAGGATTAAAGTTTGAGAATAAAGGATAATAAATTGTTGTTCATATATATAATTTATGTTCAGCATCAACGCCATCTTTAGTTATTTTTTTATTATCTGAATCTACAAACAATTTCAAAATCAAAACATCAAAAGCTTATTATGAGTTCAAAGGAATAATGCGATTGTTAAACATTTATCTATACGCGTGAGTGTATAATTAATAATCGATTAATTTAACATACAGTATTATTTATGTTAAAGAACCAGTACCTTATTATAAATTGCTAAGAAACTTCTGCGTTCGTTTCTCACATAGTTCAAAATACAAATTCACTATGAGATGAAATCAGGTTCTTTTTTAAGGAATAATTTTAATAATTGTAGCGAAGTTCATCGGTACGGAGGTTGGACAAAACTAAAGACGAAATACAAACTCGAACATGCATAGACAGATTGACTCTAAAGTTCATAGTGGTTATATATGAAAATAAAACAGTTTCATAGTATACAATATAACTTATATTTGTAAAGAATACGGATAACTATGCTACAAAACGCGGTATGAGGACTTATGAGGACAGAGGGGTTTTAGAGAGTTACGCGTGGTTCACAATCACATTGGTCGCACTTGTTCATGGAGTGTCAAATGCATCCGGGTCTATCCGAAAGACTATTTTCGGCGTTTCATGAACAAGTGTGACCAAAGTGGTTGTAAATCACTTAAGTCTGTAAGTACGATGTTATTAGAAAACGTGGTTTTGTGTTTTTCTGGTCAATCTTGGCTTCGAGCATATTTAAAAAAAACTAAACCGATAACGTTATTTAATACATTATATCTTCGGCTTAAACATGCGATAAAAAATTAACGGAATTTCAAAATCATAAAATAAAAATACACAGCTTATCTTATTTTTTAAATCAATGAATAATTTTCATTTTTACCCTTAACGGCTTTGCCGCGTGGTTTTGATATAGTAATATTTATTTATTTTCTAATAAACAAATGCCACTTATTAAACATTCGTCTACATACAATAAGAATTGATTAATTGAACAGCTATTATTATTTATTTAATGGAATTTGAAAGAGTTAAATATGAGGCACCTGATTTTTCAGCACAGTCATTTAAAACGTATGATAGAAAAACCCGAATATAAAAAAATAGAAAACCTTTTATTTTATGAAACCACAGAAGAAATACATGAATTTACACTAAAATAAAATCCAATAATTCATGCATTTTACGTTATATGTAACCACAGGCGGATTTCAGGAGGGGGAAGAGCTTTCGGGCTGAAGCTCCCCCCTCCCCCCCCCCCGAAATGGTAAAATGTATCCATGTTTTATGGTAAAAAATATGTCTTAAAGTATTATTGCTCGTTTTATTAAATTTAATAGGGCTTTAAGAATCACTTAAACACCATTTCATACAGGTAGTTAGTATCTTTCTGTTTTTCCAATGTAATTATCGTTATATATATGAAAAAAAAACTTCCGGGCTGAAGCCCCTCCCCAAAATTGAATCCTGGATCCACTAGTGTATGTAACAACAAATCAGAAATATCTCGAATCAAATCAAACTCAGACGTATGAAGTTGCTGTTGAACACTTTCAAATGTTTTTTAATTTGAATTTATCAATAATTGAATGGACACTAACAAAATTAATGATCAATTTATCTGAAAATAAAAACAAATATACAAAAGAAATATTTGAAACAAATAGTTTTTAATAGGATTAATTGTTTTTATGATAAGGATTCGTTTTAGACTTTTCATTTTATTTATAACTTCATGAGATTTTTCTTGGAACGCTCTTTTTGCGTGGGCCCCCAAAACTTTTAACCGCTTAAGACCCTCATTTGTTTTGTTCCGCCTCCGCGTTTGATGCTTAATGTCATGATTCTGTCCACTAGCGGATTCAGGATTTAATTTTGGGGGGGGCTTCAGCCCGGAAGTTTTTTTTTCATATATATAGCGATAATTTCTTTGGAAAAAAAGAAAGATTCTAACTACCTACATGAAATGGTGTTTAAGTGATTCTTGAAGTCATATTAAATGTAATTAAACGAGCAGTAATACTGTAAGACATATTTTTTAAATATTTTTCACCATAAAACATGGTCATATTTCACCATTTTGGGGGAGGGGGGAAGGAATTCAGCCCGAAAGCCTCCCCCGTAAATCCGCCTGTGGCAAGGGCGGATCTACGGGGGGGCTTTCGGGCTGAAGCTCCCTCCCCCCTCCCCCCAAAATGGTAAAATATAGCCATGTTTTATCGAAAAAAATAATTAAAAAATATCTCTTAAAGTATTATTGTTTGTTTAATTACATTTAAAAGGGCTTTAGGAATCACTTGAACGCCATTTCACACAAGTAGTTAGTTTCTTTCTTTTTTTCCAAAGTAATTATCGTTATTTTTATGAAAAAAACGGCTTTCGGGCTGAAGCCCCCCCCTCCCAAAATGAAATCTTGGATCCGCTAGTGGCCTGTGGTTCTGTCTGAGAAAACCACGGGGAGTCATTTTTATGTAATTTAAAAACATTTCTTCATTACGCACAAGACATCAACAGGATAAATATAGGGCGTTATTGATATCGCGATATTTTATTAAACATATAGTTATTAACGTCAATTTTATTTTATGGAAATATGAATAAAATCTAACCAATGTCCACAGGCGGATTTACGGAGGGGGCTTTCGGGCTGAAGCACTCCTCAAAATGGTAAAATATAACCATGTTTTATAGAAAAAAATATTAAAAACTATCTCTTAAAGTATTATTGTTCGTTTAATTACATTTAATAGGACTAAAAGAATCACTTAAACACCATGTCCTATAGGTAGTTAGTTTCTTTCTTTATTTTTCAATTAATTATCGTTATATATATGAAAAAAAAGCGTTTTATATATATATATATATATATATATATATATATATATATATATAAACTTTCGGGTTGAAGCCTCTCCCCAAAATTAAATCATGGATCTGCTAGCCAATGTCCAATTATGTTGCAAAACGATCTAACAATATCTAGTTCCAAAATTAATACCAGTTCCATTAAATATTTAATAGTTCGTCTGTAGTAATAGTGTAATATTAAGTAGCTATTATTAATAGTAATATTAAGTAGCTATTATTAATAATAATATTAAGTAGTAATAGTAGCTATTATCTTTGCAGGACGGACTATTAAATAGTGAATGGAACTGGTATTAATTTTGGAATTAAATATTGTAAGAACGTTAAAATATAATCACAATAAAATTTACAGTTTGTCAAAATGTTCAATACTAACTGGAAAGTAAAATTAAAAGGATTAAGAGCTGATTGACAAGATCAAGTATTATAACTTCCCGTGAAAGAATTAAGTCAACACCATTAAGGATAATTGAATTCCGGAGACAATATTTTCTTAAGAAAAAAACAGAGTTATTAATTTTTTTTCTATTAAAATAAGCTAAACAAACATCTATTGATAACTGTATTTTACTCAGTGTTATAAACAAATATTTTGTGTTCCTGCAGTTACAAAAGAAATGTGTCATCTATATTATTATTAGATTTTTTGCAGACTTCCGAACTTTTTCACTGAATTCATTTGTCTACATCTATAAGATGATCAATTCATAACTGTAAATAAATATATAAATGTCCGCTATAATTATTTGAGCGAGAAGTTTCTTTAAGAATGCTATTGCAAAATAGACAGCAACTCTTTGAAAATACATTATTTTTTTATAAACAAGCTCTTTATGATTTTCAAAAACAGTGGCATGTTCCAGACGTATGAAAAAATAAACAATAATCAAAAACTTTAAGTGTTGTCAAATTGGCGACACTGAAGGAGGAGGGAGAAAGACAAAGACAGACTTTTTTTCAGTCAGCCTCGGCTTCTTGGGCAGTGTGGTCGGTCCTCAATAGTATTTACGGATTCTATCTCACTTTTTCTTAGTTTGATAATTTCATAGTGATGGAAATTAAAGAAGAAAAAGTATATGAACCTACAGAAGAAGTTGACGAAGCATCAGGAAATGAAAAACCAGAAGAATGCCCTTCGTCTGGTGAGTCTACTATGACATGCTCTACTATATCCAGCCTCGTATCATTGCCTGCTCTAGAATCTCTGAGTGATTCGGCACCGGATGCTAACCCAAGCCAGTGCTATGTCAAACGAAACAGGCGCGGGCGGAGGGGAAGAAAACCTAAACAACTTCCGAAAACTCCTCGCTCAGATGACGACATACTTAATGAAGAAGAAGCAATGGATGACAAGAACTCCGGGAAAAGAATGAAGATCTTGCTTCCTCAAAAGGTAAGTTCAAGCATGATGAATCAGAATCCGAGTAATACTGATTCCGAATGTTCCATTTCCGTAAATCGCTCTGTAAATGATATAAATGAAACAGAAAGTGAATTGCCACACTTCAAAATCAGTAGAGTAAAAAATAAGAAAGGGAATAGGGGTAAAAACGTAATGATTTCAAATGATGCATCTAGAAACCATGCTGAAGAAAATGACTCAGACCCCATTGAATTTGATGAAGACCACAAGTCACAATTAATCAATAAGGATTCAGATAGTGGTTTATCTGATAATGAACCTCCTATGAAATATTCAGAAGAAGCTGAAATTGCTTTTGAAAAAAAAGTTTCAGAGCTTTGCAAAGATATTAAGAAAACTTGCTTAGGAAACAGAAAAATGGAAGGTAATGCCTCTACAATACCATCAACATCTAGTAAAGCAACTTCAATGGATATTGTAATGCCTTGTAATTTAACTGACATGATGTCAAGTTCACCCAACAACTCTTTGACTGCAACAACTGATTTACTGGCTATTGCTGGGCCGTCCACTTCACAAGATATGACTGCAACTAATTGCGCAACTGGACAAAGTATGAGAGGTGAAAGAAGGAAAAAAATGTTCAGAAAGCGCAGAGATACAGTTGTGCCCAAGTGTTTTGATACAGCAGTGGAAAGGAAAATCATGAAGCTAACTGATGAAATTGATCAAATTGATGCAATACTAGCCAAAGAAATTAATAAAAAAAATGTATATTATAAGAAGGGATACAAAGTCACTCACCAAATATTGGAAAACCTTAAGAAAGAAAAAGAATACCAAAAGTAACTTGTTTATAACATGTTCAAACAACTGTGATTTTTAATTGTAAAATTTTCTAATTATTGAACTTTTTGATTTTATTAAAAGTATAAAGAATGTTTTCTGAAATTATTTTTTAAAGCTATTATAAGACAAAGAAAGAATGAAAATTCTTTCAATTTATTGCTTGTTAAGTTTTATTAAAAAATTAGAAAAATTAACAGAAATGATCGTTAGTTACCAATATTCAAAGTTATTCTAGCACAATAATGCAATGTTACTAATGTTATTGTAACTAATCTTTCTTAAGTATATTTTACATTACTCTTTCAACGGTTTATTATCATTCTTTTATGCATATTACAGTATGTTATAATTAATATATTGTACAATAAAAATGTATCTATGTTAGTCTTTTTATTCTCTATTTCAATCATATAAAATACTATTACTTGTAAATCTAAATGAAAGTTGCTAAAATACCTGTCCAACATTTAGTGCATTTGTTTGTTGGGAATAAAAATATAAAAAATCTAGTCTCTCGGCTAGATAATTTATTGCCTAGATCGGAGATTTTGAGTAATGTAGAAGAAGAAATAATTTGCACTATATGGTTTGGATATTTTCCATAGAGTAATGAAATTGATCGTGTTTGGTGTTTAAGTACTATCTGAATTTTAATTTGAAATGTACTGTGTGAATTGTTCTCAATGTTTGATTTTATGAATATTTGTATATTTTGTTGAACACTAAGTTTCTGCTCCGTAAGTTCAAGTCATATAAAATTCTGTATCATTATTTTATTTTTATTTTTTTATCTGCGTTGATCATCAAAAATATTTTTGGTAGTTACAGTCTTACTGTTGTAATCTATAAATTATGAGGGTTTAGTTCAATTTTTCATTTCAATAAAATAAAAAATAGTGGTGTCTGTGTAAACAAGGGAAAAAAAAGACTTTGTCGTAACATTATTTATTAGATGAGATGAGAAGGAGTTGGTCGGAGGGGTGTGGTCAATTAAATACTATATATTAAAATAGTATTTTATTGTTTACGCTAACTTTTCGACCCACTTTGTAGGTCTTCATCAGGGCATGGTATTAGGCACTGCGGGAAGCATTTGGTAAATTGAATTAAATGTAATTAGGAGGACAATAATACTTAAGATGATTGTTTTCATAAAACATGGTTATATTGTACCATTTTGGGGGGCTTCAGCTTGAAAGCCCCCCTCTCCTCCCTGTAGATTCACCTGTGCAGAAGTGGTGTTTGTTTGAATTCATTCAAGAGAATAAATATATTGAACAGGTGTCTGTGGAATTGTCAGGAGCAGAGAAGGAGGATAATTAGAAGGATTTGAATTTGTAGGTGGCTAATTCCAATATTAATATTTTGCAGTAATTATTATTGGAGTGACAATCAGCAGGATTTCTGGTACATTGCTTTAGTGGTCTGACTCTGCTTGTGGCCCTTGGCTAAAGTGAAGTAAGGCGCTCTCATCAGGACAATATGTATATATAAAAGTGTTTTCCAGGAATTTAAATATATAATAAATTTACCGAAATTCACAAAACAATTATTTTGGGGGTCAAACAAACCACAGTATTAGATAAATACAAAATACTTTTATTGAATAAGAAGGAACTGCTCAAGATAATTAATTTCCAAGTACACCATCGTAAAGTATACAACATTTTTTTGAGAAACCTGTGATTAAATTTAGTAAGGTCAATGATAAACACATTAAATTTATTATGGTCAATGATAAAAGGGACTTTCAGGAATCCTACTACAGCTGCTGTACCGCTGCAGTTACAGTACTCATACATGAACAGCATATCTCGGTGCAGTAGCTGTAAATACATCACTCAATATGCTACTAGAATACACAATAACAATCTTGGTTTCCCTCAGAGTGGGCTCCCAATCATTCTATAACAATAGAATACGAAACATTTATGTTGCGGACCTATCAGAGAAGCCCCAAACATTTGCGAAAATTAAAAAATACAAAACAATGATCTTCGGGGTCCTCAGAGAGCACTTCCAATCATTCTACAATGATAAAAAAGTACAAAATATTTATGTTGGGGGCCCATTTGAAGGCTCGCAAAAATTTAGGGAAACAAATGTATATGATACAATTATTTTTGGGGCCGAACATAGCATGGTACTAGATAAATAAATAAATATTTTGACTTTGGCATTGATCCTCTGGCACGGTAAAACCACCATATAGCCTTAAAGATGGGGTAGGGGTGAACAGGGGGAAAAAAAAATGATCTTTGGGGTCCTCCAATCATTGTATGACAATCTTTATTTATTTTATTTTTTGGTGATAAGGCCTTTAAGAACCAAGGCCTCTCTTGTTATTCTTCTCTATCTTAGGTGAGCATTCTCCTTCTCCGGGTTCCCATCCTTTTCAGGATATCTTCATCCTCATCTAGCTATCTCAGACGGGGTCTTCCACCATGTCTATCATCCAGCAGGAATCCCTGGGCATATGTGCCACATGACCAAACCATCTGATTTGGTCACTTCTCACAATTGAGACCAAATCTGGCCTTGCATAGATCTCACGCTGCTCTTTATTGGTGCGAATTCTCCACTGCCTATTCTCACACACCGGACCGTCAATCCTGTGGAAAACCCTTCTCTCCCATGCGAGTAGGTTCCTTTCTGAGGCCTTAGAGATTACCCAAGTCTCAGAACCATAAATGGCAACGGGTCTGATGACTTTCTCGTATATTGTAATTTTTGTCCTATGAGAGAGGGTGTTGTAATTTAGCAATTTTTTTTCGAAACAGCATCTATTCCGAGCAACCATTCTTGTTTGCAGTTCTTCTGTCATATCATTACTTTCTGTAATTAGAATGCCTAAATCCTTAAATGTTTCTACCGCTTTCAGGATGTGACTACCTAATGTGATACATTCCTCTGTTCCACTCCGCGTTCTTGAAGTTTGCATCTAAACAGTCTTCTTCTCATTTATTTGTAACCATAGTTCTTTTGCTGCTGTTACGAATTCTTCAAGTGCTGTTTTATTTCTGGCCATTATTACATCATTCGCATAAGCTAGATGCTGTGTCATGCTATTATAAATAGTGGCACCAGGACACATCCTTATTGCATACTCTAAAGCAATATTGAATAGAATAGGGGATCAATAATCACCTTTCTTGAGCCCATCTCTTACCTTGAAATCTTCTGACAACGTGCCCTTCAAAATCAAAATCACTTTGGAGCATTTTGAGTTGCTTTTTTAAAAATGTCTCTATTTCTGCCTACATACCTTCTTTGAAATTTTCCTCATAGATATATACATCTCCGTACTTCTTCTTGTGCACACAATAAGCATTCTAAATCTTGCCTCTTTTCTGTCCTTAAGTGCTCGGTTCCATTTCTCATAGTACCATTCCTTAACATAATTTTATGTTTTGCCTTCAATGCCTCCTCGGCTCCCTCCTTTATAGATGATTTAATCTTTTCCCAATGACTGTATATTCCTGCATCACCATCATTAAATTAAATTAAATTTATCAGCTTTTGGAGGAATTATGAAATTTTCACTTTGATACCTGACAGTTCTTTCTCCTTTTAAATAGAAAAAAAAACTTTATTCTGGGACACAGTCCCTTGAGAATAACAAATTAGAACAAAATTAAAATATTACATCTGGCCAAAACAAAATAAATCGAAAAAAAGAAATAATGTAAAAAAAATATAAGGTAAAAACTCTATATACAAAACAAACTAAACTATATACAAAACCATTAATACTATTACAAGAAACTTAAAGCTATTTAGACCAGTATACACTTTTCCGAAAAAAATAAAGAATTAAAAAATAAAAATATATCAAATTCTCTATTAAAATCCACTCGAATGGTTAGCAAGTATCTGACTGTTTTTGTGATAGGAATTGGAATAGGAGGGATTTGAATGTGGATATGGAGGGGGAATGTCGAATTTTGATAGGGAGGGAATTCCAGAAATTGACAGAGCGAACAATAAAGGAATTTTGGAATGAGGCTAAATTTTACTTGAAAAATACATTCTATTCTCTGTCTGTAAGGTAATTTAACCAAGAAATGGTCAGTATCTGCGTCCGCTCCTTGATAACTTCTCACGTCATTGATATCAGAACAATATCTAGAGTCAATAAGTATATGATCAATTTGATTTCTAATTTTTCCATTTGGAGACAGACAGGTTTCCTTTTGTATTTCCTTATGAGGAAAGTGTACTTACTTGTATGGCAATATTAATTTACAAAACATTTATGTTAGTGGCTTAAAAATTTATGGGAATAAAAGAATGCAAAACAATTATTTTCAGGGTACTAGAAAAATATACAATAATTTTGGAACCTCCGAGGCCTCCCTGGCTAAGGGGCCCTTGACGATTGCAGATCGGGCCTGTTTAAGAGGTATTAAGGTAAATTGTTTTTCTTAGGGAGGAGGCGGTCCAGGCAGCTTGTTGAATTATGATAGTAAAGGAATTGATGACATTGTCAAGGTCATCGGGATTTGTCAAGGTCTATATTGTCAGAGAGGATTTGGGAGAAAAGGTTCCAGTTAATGGGGTCTCTAATGAATGACAGTGGAGAAGGTTTGGGGACGGGTTCTAGGGAACCATTAAGAATTAGTGGACTATGGTCAGAGGGAAGTTCGTTTAGATGTGTAATGGAACAATTGAGTGGACCTAACATCTAAATATTACAAAAATAATTTTAAGCAATTGACCTGTATCTTGAATAGTGTTATTTTCTTTCCAAAACTTCTCAAACTATACAGAATTATTATGTTGAGACCTCATGAAAATAATCTCTATTTTCCCATTGATTTTTTTAACAGGTTCAAAAAAAGAGGGAAAAAGATTGTGTTAAGAATTTTATAATAGGGGTGGATGTCAATGCCCTCATTAATTTGAATAAACCAAAACTTGAAATCTGAGAGGTTACTTCAAAATGCAAAAATTGTAAAGAAAAAAAAAAAAAATACTCAAAAAGGTACAAAAATTTGAAATCAATACCAATCCCTATAAAGTTAAGGATTCAACATTGGTTTTGGGGGATAACTACAATGCAATGTTTAAATAGAAAATAAATTATTGTCAAGTGCCAATATTTGCAAGTGGTAAATGAAAATATCAAAACTAAAAGATTTGGGAAAGTTGTAAAATAGAATGTATTTCTGTTTTAACTAAATGTCCTGATAATTTCATTCCAACTGTTGAATTTCATTCAGATTTTTAAAATTGTTTTGAAATTTTGTTCCAACTATTAAAATTGTGAGGAAATTTTATATTTTGCTCCCTTTTAAAAAGTTAAAATTGTGCCATTGTCACTGAGTAGTGTTTGATATTGCTTAATACTGATAGATAAC